TTGTTTTTATTAAATATTCATTTCCCACCCCAACAACAATCAATTACTTTCTTTAAGTATTATTTACTTAATATGAAATACTACTTTCTGCACTGCATTTTATTTCTTTAAATGTTTTTTGTTTGTTTTATTTTTCTTAACAAAAGACTGCGTTTTTTTTTTTTTTTTTTGCTTCTTATCACGATGAACTCTTTTTTTAAAGTGTTTATAATAATTAATATGTGTATATAGGCAATGACTTTGTTCATGAAGCCTTTATTGAGTTTTTTGATTAGCTGTTTTTAGGCAGATTTAATGATTAAATTGTTACAGTTTTAAAGAGGTGTTGAATGTGCTAGATATTGTAGATTAAGGTGGTACATAGTTTAGTAGATAGATAGATAGATAGATAGATAGATAGATAGATAGATAAATAGATAAATAGATAAATAGATAAATAGATAGATAGATAGATAGATAGATAGATAGATAGATAGATAGATAGATAGATGGATGGATAGATAGATAGATAGATAGATAGATAGATAGATAGATAGATAGATAGATAGATAGATAGATAGATAGATAGATAGATGGATGGATGGATAGATAGATAGATAGATAGATAGATAGATAGATAGATAGATAGATAGATAGATAGATAGATAGATAGATAGATAGATAGATAGATAGATAGATAGATAGATAGATAGATAGATAGATAGATAGATAGATAGATAGATAGATAGATAGATAGATAGATAGATAGATAGATAGATAGATAGATAGATAGATAATAGATAGATAGATAAGATAGATAGATAGATAGATAGATAGATAGATAGATAGATAGATAGATAGATAGATAGATAGATAGATAGATAGATAGATAGATAGATAGATAGATAGATAGATAGATAGTAGATAGATAGATAGATAGATAGATAGATAGATAGATAGATAGATAGATAGATAGATAGATAGATAGATAGATAGATAGATAGATAGATAGATAGATAGATAGATAGATAGATAGATAGATAGATAGATAGATAGATAGATAGGTAGATAGATAGATAGATAGATAGATAGATAGATAGATAGATAGATAGATAGATAGATAGATAGATAGATAGATAGATAGATAGATAGATAGATAGATAGATAGATAGATAGATAGATAGATAGATAGATAGATAGATAGATAGATAGATAGATAGATATTATTACAACAGTTGTCTTGTCTTTCTCTGAAAGAAAGCAGGCAATCCTGAAGAATATTCGATCTAGAATTTAATGAAATTCATTTGTTTGTAAACTTGAAGTGATTCATGAAATAATCTCTTAACACTCACAGTTGTAATTTTTTTTGTACTCTTTATAAATTAAAAATTTAGTTTTTATTGACTTGGGAGTTGGGAAGTCCCTACTGCTTTAAGTTAGCTATAGTAACAACTGAAAAAGCTTTTAAAAATCACAGATGTATTGTACTTACCACTTGATTGAATTCATAGTTCATAAGCGGGACTACTTAAGATTAACTAATATACTGGCGCTATTCACAATCTTATGTATTGAGATTGCAAATTTGTGCTAATACACTTTCCTATAATTTATTGTTTTGTTCCAGCAAACTGCAGGAATTTTGCCAGATTTACTATGTTTGCTAGAGTAGCTTATTAACCAGCTTATGGAATATATCGACATTAATTTAAAAATGTTTTTATTTATTTGAAACGGATTTTACCTTTTCATTTATGTATACAAAAGCCAGTAGCAAACTCTAGTTCTTTTAAAAAATTCTTTATTCAAAACAGATTTTAAAGGATCATATTTCTGACGATTACACTACTTATATTAAATGATAAACTGAACTCCTACACAAAGTGAAGGACAAGCAAAGAATAAAGAAAAGCTTTAATAAAACTTTTCTTTCTTCTTTTTTAATATATTGATAATAAAATGATCAATTGTTTTAGCATTTTATATATTTAATTCATTCATTTCATTTGTTTATGGCGATGCAATAACATTGGCACTAATTAAAAAAAAAAAAAAAAAAACATTAAAAGTTTATTAATCTTTAGCAAAAGAAAAACAAACAGCTTTGTTTGTGGCTTATAAATGAAATAAATTTAAAATGTTAGAAGAACCTTATTCATTTGGTAAATTAAAATTGTGGTTTATAAAAAAAAATTGTGATATGAATAGAGGCAAAACTATTTTAATGATTTCAAACGAGATAATTTTATTAATATTTTTGTGTTTAATTTTTTTTACAGCTGGTGTGGCACAATCGAATGTACCCTTTATTGGACCCGATGAAGTACCACCACCTTATCAGCAGGGTACAGCTGGTGGTGTACCCATGGTTACTTGTCGCGTATGTCAGGGTATGATTGATATAACCTCGAAGCGAGATCAGCACGTTGTTAAGTGTCTTCAGTGTAATGAAGCTACAGTGAGTGTTATTTATTCATATGTTTAAATTTTGATTATTTAATTTTTTCTTTATTTTCCAGCCCATACGTAATGCACCACCTGGTAAAAAGTATGTACGTTGCCCTTGCAATTGTTTGCTCATTTGTAAAAGTTCATCTCAACGTATAGCTTGTCCACGTCCCAATTGCAAGCGTATTATTAATTTAGCTCCCAGCCCTGTTACACCACCCGTACCCACTATGCCGGGTATGTGTCGTGTCACCTGTGGCCATTGTTCGGATACATTTTTGGTGAATATTTTGAGATTTGTGAAAAAGAAAAGAAGAGTTGGTTTTAAATGTTTTTTTTTTTATTTCTTCTCTTTACAGTTTAATACATTTCACAATTCGTTGGCTCGTTGCCCCCATTGTAGGAAGGTTTCATCGGTGGGCTCTCGTTTTGCCTGTGGTCGTGGCATAATATTTGTCATTATTGGTTTAATTGTATTATTTGCTGGCATTGGTATAACTGTTGGCACACATAATTATGCTAGGGTAAGTTTTAATGGGAATTTACGACATCAAGGTTAAAAAAGAATACCGGGCATCTCTAAATGAGATAGCGAGACATTCTGGGATATCGCTAATATGGGTCACTGTTTATAGCAAATGTCGGGATAACTGTATAGCTGATGAATTCTATTAATGTATTAAAAATCCAAATCAAGGTTCACCTTTCAGACCTCGTGGTCTATCTGACCTCCATATGATGCTCTTAGGTCAAAAGTACTTACAAGCTTTCGCAGAGAGCAAATAAGAATGATATTATCAGTAATTACAGAAGAATAGGTCTTGAATACAATGACTACTGCAGTCATAATAAAGAGGAAGATAACATATTATGTTATTGCCCTACATTTACCAAAAAACGAGAGCATCATTTCAGTATTGCCTTTCTGTTTCATTATCAATGCAACCATTTGATTTCATTATGGAAACAGAGAGTAATACTCCACGCATACTAGGGTAACACAATGGGATCAGAAATTTCATGAACCCAAGTGAGATGCTCATGAAATGGCTGCAAATATACCACGAAAATTTCAAACAATTGCGAAATTTTGCATATATTTTCTCGATTCTTTCTCGTACTTGTACATATTTTGATGTGACAATTCTTTTTTTTTTTGCATATTGTTTTAAACAAACAAATTATCTCTTATTACTCTCAACAAAAATTATGCAATTATCTTCAAAATACACAATGAAATTTAAAAATAAATTGTTATACACAAATATAAACAATTAAATGTTATTAAACTTTTTCAACCACCAAAAGAAATTTAACTGATATAATTTTTCACTTGCAGACTATTTGTGTTGAATATATTTTGTGTGAAATATGAATGAATCATTTATTTATGTGCTAATGAATTGTATAGGAATTCACTTAATCCAGCATTTTAAAAAATTTGCAATTAATGAAAGTCTAGCAAAAATACTACGACAGTGAGTTTAATATAAAACAGAAGAGAAATTCGACTATTACAAACATGCAAATGTACTAAATCTAGTAAAAGTACTAGAGTTTGCAAGACCCCAACAATGATGTTGGGTTTTACTCTAAAATCTAGAGTTTTTACTTTTCTAAATAAGTCCAGTAAAAAGAATGCAGTTTACAAGACCTTAGTTGTCTTATATCAACATGTTTATCTGCAACCCAAATCATTGCAAATCTTATTTACAATAGACCAAATTATAATCATGTATTTCTATATATTTTGATAGTTTAGAGCAAAATTATGCAAGACCATTGTGAATTGAGATAATAATTTTCAGGTCTTGCAAATTTGTTGCAAATGAAAATTTCATATAGTATTTTGTTTCCTATATACAGTTTCCTACAATTTTTCTAAACTTTTTACTTTCACAAGTAAATCTAGCAAATACAACAAGGACTACTTAAGAATCGATGAGATTACAAATATCTACCTCTTCTGGCCTTGTAAAATTTAGTCTTGTAAATAGTAGTTTCGTATATTTCGTTGTCGAATTTTAACCAAGAGAATATTCTTAGATCTTGAAAATTTTATCAAATCTTGTAAATATTAGTTTCGTAGATTTCATTGTTTAAAAATGAAGATTCTTTAAATGATTTACAATATTTGCAAGGGTAATTTGTTATTAAAAGAGAAATACCTACATAAGTAATGTTATAGTTTTTAATATACTATTTACAAGAGTAGCAACGTGTTTAAATTCTGCAAAAAAAAGTTTGAAATTCTTTTTTAATATATTCTTTATTTGCAAGATCTGGACTAGCCTTGCAAATATGACCAAGTGTAGCAAATAATAGTTTCGTTTATTTTTTATTGAGGTTTAACAAATTGCATACTTTTTGATAAATTTACTATGTTGAGATTTAACACACTGCAAATTTTTTAATGGATTTACAATGTTTGCACTGGTATACAACCCTCTTCAACTAAACTAAAGAATGTTTGCAAGAGTAATCAGTCATAAAGAAATATACTTTTTAGCAATATATTTCTGAGAGTAACAACGTGCTGTAGTCTAAAAATGTGATTTTTTTACATTTTGCATATTTACAAGACCTAATATGATGTTGCAAATTCAAACAAGTCTAGCAAATAACACTTTTGCATATTTTAAAGATGAGAAAATATCAGATTATTATTTTAAATATAATGGTAATCATTCCTTACAATGGTATATTTGCAAGAATAGCAGAACTACGAAGTTTTTAATTCTTGATTTAACATATGACATATTTACAAGTGTAATAAATAACTCTTCTATATTTTATTGTTATGGTTTAGAAAACTGTTTAATTTTTCAGAAATTTACAATGTTTGCAAGATTAATTTGTTAGAAAGAATGTATATCCAAGAGTAGCAATGTGTTAAAATTTGTTGCTATTAAGCTTGAAAATATTTTTTACATATTGCATATTTACAAGAGCTGTCTTGATCTTGTAATATTTATTGTATACAAAACTATTTTCTTTATTAAATTTTTAAAAATTAACAGATTTACTACATTTGCAACTTTTGAAATTGTAATTTATGATTAAAAAAGATGAAAAGATCTTTGTAGTATATTTACAAGAGTAGCCACTTTCTATACGTATTGCAAATTCAACCAATCATAGGTTTTACTATGTTTGCAAGAGTAATGTGTAATGCTAAATTTCTTAGCTATAAAGTTTAAAAGTTTTTTCTAACATATTGCATATTTACAAGACCTGCCGGGGTTTTCCAAAAATGTAAGAAAGGTTAATTTATTTTATTATTGAGTTTTAACAAGATTATGGTTTTTTAATATATTTACTAGGCTTGCAAGGTAAATTATGACGGAAAGAGGTGAAATATTACTTACAAACTTTTAAGTCTTGCAAATTCATTCATGTGTATGATTTAGAAAGATTGAAAGAGTAATTTGTTATGAGCAGGAAAGTGCTAAATTTCTTTGTACAAAATTTAAAAGTACTCTTTTAACATATTGCTTATTTACAAGACCTGCCTTAATATTGCCAAAAATTTATTTTATTGTAGAGGTTTAAAAAAATACTTTTTTAATAGATTTACTACTTTAACAGAGGTATTTTATGATAAAAAGAGGTGACAAGTTCTTTGCGGTATATATTGCAAGAGTAGTAAGGTTCCATAGGTCTGGTAAATTCAATCAAGGAGTCTTTAAAGTTTGCAAGCATAGTTTGCTATGATTACTTTTAAATCCTATTAATCTTTTCTAATTTTTTTTTTCTCTTTCAACAGGATCACGCGGGCATTTATGTGGCATATATTGGAATCTTCTTAATTAGCTTTTTCCTCTGTGCGCGTTCGCTTTATTATTTCCGTTTAAAAGTCTCACATGTTGATGGTCCCATGTAAATAAACACGTATTTAAAACGCTTTTTGTAGCAGCATTCCTTTTGATATTACAAAAACAAATATAATTAAATAAAAGCAACATGTTTTTCTACTTTAAAACGAAACAACAAAGCAAAATTTTGAAATTGAAACTATTCACAAGCAACAACAATAACAACAAGAAACAAGTATATGAACAACAACTGCAAAAGAAAAGAACACATCTATTTATTAAAAACCAAACAAAAAAACAATAAATTGATGAACTTTCAAACTATTAAACAAAAATGAAATATTATAAACAACTACAAAGAACATGAAAGTATGTAAAATGTTTCATTAAAAATTATATTAATAAATAAATTAAAACAAAAATAATTAATAATATTAATTAATATTTAAATGTTACAGATTTACGAAAAAAAAAACAGAAAACAAATAATTCTACTTTCTACTCTCTACTAAAAAATCATCAAAATGTACACATAAACGTGCTAAATACATATACAATTTACATATATAAATAAAGATATAAACAAAAGTAATAATAAATTTATATATTTAAAAAAAAAACAATTTAAACAATTTAATTAAATGTTAGCAAAGTTAGACTTTTATGTTTAGCCTGCATAACATTTATTATTTGTGTTAAAGTATTGTTTTTTTATTCTCTTTAATTTCCCTTTTCTGGTTCTTTTTTTTAATATAATATTAAAAAAAAAAATTAATAAAATATTAAAACAACACCACCACAAATTTAATAAACAACAACAAAATACAATTAAATGCCTTTTGATCATAACATAAATATAAAACTTCTTCTCCCTTCTTCACCCCTCCCCCCTTATTTTAGCTCTACTACTTACTTTAATTTTATTATTTAAAAAAAATTAAAATAAAGTTTATTTCCAAGATTTTTCTTTAAATTATTACATTTTAATTAAAATTATTTATGTTTATGGCTGGCTCATTAATTTCTTTAAGTAATTACAACTTTAGCTTGTGTCTTTTGTTAACAATAATGTTTTTTTTTTTTTTTAACTAAATTTATTTTTAATTTTAAAAGGAATTTATTTATCTCAAATTTTTCTTTCTTTTTTTCCTTATTATCTTTTTCATTTTGTAATTGTTTTTTTATTATTAATTTCTTTATTAATTTTAGCTTTTATATACATATATACATTAATTACTTATATATTTATATATAA